CTGTGATCTTGCTTTGAAGATACCACAGTCTCTAATTTACATAGTTGGTCTCCTGTGATCTTGCTTTGAAGATAACACAGTCTCTAATTTACATAGTTGGTCTCCTGTGATATTGCTTTGGAGATACAACAGTCTCTAATTTACATAGTTGGTCTCCTGTGATATTGCTTTGGAGATACCACAGTCTCTAATTCACATAGTTGGTCTCCTGTGATCTTGCTTTGGAGATACCACAGTCTCTAATTTACACAGTTGGTCTCCTGTGATATTGCTTTGTAGATACCACAGTCTCTAATTTACATAATTGGTCTCCTGTAATCTTGCTTTGAAGATACCACAGTCTCTAATTTACATAGTTGGTCTCCTGTGATCTTGCTTTGAAGATACCACAGTCTCTAATTCACATAGTTGGTCTCCTGTGATCTTGCTTTGGAGATACCACAGTCTCTAATTTACAGCTCAGGACTGACGAACTTCGACCTTTGTCGATATTTTCTCCATAGCATTTTTGGATTCGGACTAAGATGTGGACCTCGTTTGGTCAACATAATTCTGTTATAGTCGTGCTGCTTGAATTGTTGATCGCTCTTCTTGTCCATTTGATGGATTACGTTCTGACTAAACTGCCTGGTCATGGCTGTCTTCTTTCCTGCTATAATGAATTATTGATGTAATATATAGAATCTTTACATGTATACACAGACGGTTTCTTTGACTCCTTTTTCTGCCTGTATTGTCTTCTATATTTATTCTTTTCACTTTCCTCATAATACAATAATATGTTCAACTGAACTACTTGTTCCTCTGGATTTTCTTCATAAAGATTAATTTATTTAACTACATCTTTTCCGGTCCCCCCCCCCCCCAAAAGTCTTCAACTTCGCCATTTTATTTTTCTCCCGGTTCCCTTCCTTCGATTTAGAAATTTTGATTCTTACTTGCTCATCTGCAAAGTTGGGATTCTTTGGGTACTGGAACCCGTCAGATCGTCTGGAAATAAATGTGCTGACTGTCTTACCCAAGGAATAATCTTTCTACCAACATTCCCTTTTTCTTCGGTATACAGGATTTTCGCTGCAGTTTACTCTCACATATTCCATATTTCTAGAACTTTAGGGGAAGGGATAAACAACTTTATTGAAAGACCCAGTTTTAGTATTATGCACCCCTCATCTGAAAAAGAAACAAAACTTTATGACCCTATAATACACGGTATGATATTTTTTATGCTCGTCCATTTGAGAATATTCTTCCTCTAGGGGGCGAAACACTTCTTCGGAAGCCACATTTTTATTGTATTTAATATTCTTTCACTCAAACCTGAATCTAAAAGTTCTTTTCATCTTGGAAACCCTCCTGGTTGATCAGGACGTGCATTTCATTTTCATCGCCATTATGCTTCTTCTTGAACACTATCCCGTTACCAAACATTCTCGTCATTTCAGCCGTGAGGGCATTATAACGTTACGGTCGATCCCTCTATTCGTCGGTTAAGAGTTGCCCAAGAGTAGGCCGTGGGTGGTGTTGACTAGCTGCATACACTTTAGTTTGAGAACAACTTTTTTGTTTAAGTTGTTAAAATTACAAACCCGGGCCTAATTTTTTTATATAGAAAACCTAGTAACAAAAATTCATATTTTTAACACTTACCAATTAATGCGAAGGATGCGATTGTTTTTTTTTGTTTGTTTTTTCTGGCACGATTGAAGAATATGTGGTACCATTTTTGTCAATTTTAAGGAAAGAAAATACTAACGAGTCTATGTAAGTAGAGGGTGAGTCTATAAGTGAGGAGAGTAGTGTGTATATGTACGTGGAAAGGTCAGATAGGGCTTATTACAAATTCTATGATTTTTAACATTAATTGTGTCGTGTAGCACCGACATTAGCTCCACGTACCACTAGTGTTACGAGTACCAAAGTTTGAGAATCCCTGCTCTAGTCTATCACTTCTAAATTAGGGACGGCTAGTACAGACACTTCTCGAGTCGCTTCGCGTGAAATTCAACAAACAAATGGGTGCAAATGTTGCTGACAAATAAAAAAATGGATTGTGGATCAGTGGTGTGAATGAGTCAAGAGGTATGAGGTGTGAATGAGTCAAGACGTATATGGTGTGAATGAGTCAAGAGGTATGTGGTGTGAATGAGTCAAGAGGTATGTGGTGTGAATGAGTCAAGAAGTATGTGGTGTGAATGAGTCAAGAAGTATTTGATGTGAGTGAGTCAAGAAGAATATTGTGTGAGTGAGTCAAGAAGTATGTGGTGTGAATGAGTCAAGAGGTATGTGGTGTGAATGAGTCAAGAAGTATGTGGTGTGAATGAGTCAAGAAGTATTTGATGTGAGTGAGTCAAGAAGAATATGGTGTGAGTGAGTCAAGAGGTATGTGATGTGAATGAGTCAAGAAGTATGTGGTGTGAATGAGTCAAGAAGTATATGGTGTGAATGAGTCAAGAAGTATGTGGTGTGAATGAGTCAAGAAGTATCTTCAGCAGGGAACTTCAATAGAAAGAGTATCTTCATGAACACCTGAAGCTGTAGCTGGTTTTTCATAAGTAAGTCGTTTCGATGTTTCTTATACAGTAATAATTTAAGCAAGTTTCATATATTACAGAGGTTGAATACCTTATATTTTAACGATTTTGGAGCCTCACTACATCGTTATAGTCTATGTCGTCACGTCCGGTTATGCTCTATCTGAATGGTCCTGGTGCACCATGTTGATCCTTTCTTTTCCATTACGTACAAGGAATATCCCCGTCTTGAAAATTCTAAATATCCGATCTGAAAATATTTTTATGATCTGAGCGTTTGAATATTTTGCACTGGAAAGGGCTGTTACTTACCCTTCCCAAAAGCTCTCAGATGACAGTGGCATCCCACAACACTAAACAATTTGATACACGCACTTCTACGGTGAGTTTATTACGACCGTAGTTGTTACGTGACTTGCTGATCTGCATGTATTTAAAGTCGTTTTAATAGAACGTACTCAATTCTCTGTATTTCATTGTGGCACAGCGGTATGTCTGTGGACTTATAACGCTAGAAACCGGGTTTCGATACCCGAGGTGGGCAGAACACAGATAGCACATTGTGTAGCTTTGCGCTTAGCTACAAACAAACCCTGTATTTCATTACTTCAAATTTCTTTTGCTGTCAAGTCCTCAAATACAGTTTTAAACGACATAGTTTAAATACATTCTACTTTATAGTATTGAAATCATGAACACTGCGTTGCACCACTGATATAAATATTTCATACATTTAACTCTACCAGGTGGTTAAAGATCACGAAACCGACACCATTATCGTTTTTGCGGGGAAAAAAATAAACTCAAAATATCGAAACTCTGTTTTCATTATTTTACGCAAAGGAAGTTATGCGAACGTTCGATTTTATCCTGAATAAAATACAAAAGGATATATTATACGGCTTCCTATACTATGGGAAGCTGGCAAGAACGATGTGGTGTACGTTTAAGACGCGGAAACACGATAGGAAGGTGATAATGCAGCACGCAGCATGAACGTTTCTACATTACACGTGACATACTATGGACATTAGAAATTAGGCCAAGCTACGTGAACATGTGCGTTTCTATAATTAAGATAATAACGTCATTATCATTAGGACTTGATCTATGTAAGTGATAAATTAAGCATCACCATCTAAAGCGTCGGGAACGAAATTCTATTATTGATGTAATAGATATGAATAATACCTCTACAGCAGCATGTACCCAACAGCACCTCGAGAGAAGCTAAGTGGACCAGAAAGTGAAAATATAGAGAAAAAAAATTGTTCTCTAAAAATGCAAGGTTCGAGTTTTGGTAATATTAAAGATTTTGTTCAAAATAAAAGTAAAACAAAACGGAAATACACACACGCATATACAAACCCTGTTTTGTTTTTTTAAAGTGAAAAATATATATTATGTTTTATTTCCTTTAAAATATAAATTTTAAACGTAAATTTTATTTTCCCAAACAGTTTTCAAGTCGGTTGCTCGTTTTTCACGTTTTAATAGTGACGAGTAGCCTATCATCCTTGCTGGTTTTTAACGTTTTAATAGTGACGAGTAGCCTGTGATCTTTGCTGGTTTTTAACGTTTTAATTGTGATTATTAGCCCGTGATCCTTGCTGGTTTTGAACGTTTTAATTGTGATTATTAGCCTGTGATTCTTGCTGGTTTTAACGTTTTAATAGTGACGAGTAGCCTGTGATTCTTGCTGGTTTTTAACGTTTTAATAGTGACGAGTAGCTTGTGATCCTTGCTGGGTTTTAACGTTTTAATAGTGACGAGTAGCCTGTGATCCTTGCTGGTTTTAACGGTTTAATAGTGTCGACTAGCCTGTGATCCTTGCTGATTTTTAACGTTTTAATAGTGACGAGTAGCCT